GGCCATTTTTTGTTTCTTCTCCAACCGTTCATCTCCTTCAACACCTTTTTTTCACACCGATGAGCATAACTTCCTGCATCTCTCGATGATGACTAGATGACTTCGTCAGAAAGGCTGCTCAGTAGCACTACGATATGCCGTAACTTCTAAGCAGGCTTCTCAAGCGTATGAACGAGACTATCAGCTCGTCGAAGGCTTCCAAATTCTTTGCTATGACTGTCCCGCTATCCATTTTGAACTCGTAGAGGCGCCGTATCGTCGTAACCTGATTTTGTAGTGTAGTGCGATTGTAGAACTCTCTCAGCATCACTCACGCTTAAACCGCACGCGTTAAGGAACATTTATTCGTCTTGTGTTGTAGCTCCACACCCTCCGCGATGATGTCGAGAGCTTTCGAGTCATTCATCTCTTAAGCTCTCCTTTCTAGCTCTCCACCTTGATCACCTCTACGTGGACCAGCAGTCCTATCCTGGCGATCTTTATCCTCTTATAAACTCCCAGTGAAAACAATTTATACTTCTCAGAAGGACTTTGGCGCGCCTCGTACTCATCATGAGCGTTGCCGGTGAAGCGAAGTGATCTTGATCTTATTGAAGCGGTCCAAAATGCGGCTTCAACCTATTAATATAACCGAAAACAAAACTGAAGAGTAAGATGTAAGTTACCTAAATAATCTCTGTTTCTTTCTTTCCTTCATTGTCCTTCTAGGATTGTCTTCTCACCCCCCATGACCTTTCAGTCAATCAGACGAACGTTAAAGTGATCGCGGACTGGCCGGTGCCTACTGATATTGAGGGACTTCAAAAGCTCCTTGTCCTAAAGGCTTGTTTGTACAATCTTTCGCAAAAACACGCCGAGATGACAGTTTATCACTCTAACGTTTAAAAAAGGACGAGAAGTGGGTATGCAATGCCGATTGTCAGCACCCCTTCGAAGGTAATATACAAGGCTTGATGCGATCACCAGTTTTAGAAATTGCAGGCCAAGCAGACAGACCATTTCATGTGTTCTGTGATGCCAGGAAATTTGAAATCGGCTGTACACTGATGCAGTGCGACACAGACGATGCGGGACGTGTCGTCTGTCATCAGACACGCCAGCTGCAATCAGCTGAGCCAATCCGTCTAGTACATGACAAGGAACTTTTTGCCGTGAACTACGCATTGGCAATATTCAGATTCCATCTGCTAGGCGATAGAACCTTTATCGTTTATGCAGATTAAGCTTCTTTACGCAAGGCCATTAACAGTTCATTCTATTTGCAGCGGATAGCGAGGTGTCTATAATTTTTTGCGGAGTAAAAATTCTCCGTCGAGTTTGGGACAGAAAGACTCAATGTCATCGCTGATGCACTCTCGCTCCAGCCCGATTTCGATCAGGATGCGCCACAGACACGAATTCGACCACTGTCTTGGTATTAACTTCGAGTCCCTGTCGTCAAACTTATTTGAAGATACATGTAAGACATTATCCGGAGATGTTGCAATTGGTGCATCGTCTTTCGCAACCATCCAGGAAGAGCCTCACACAGTTGTCGCCAGTATATCGATCCTCTACCGATTTATATACAAATCGCAACGGCTTACTCCAAAATTCTACTGCTGCCGGCGACAAGACTCGTCTTGACGTTTCAGATCGTGGTGATCTGCGATTGCGTATCATGCACGAGTATCACGACGCACCTATTGGTAGACATCGTCGTCGTGAGAATACATTTCTCACCGTAAGGCGCGACTTTTACTGGACCCGCCTTTATTAGTTCGTGTGCTAGTGCGTTCGAGAATGTGAACACTGTTGACAGGTGAAGCCTAGTCCTTCCTTTTAAGACCCGTTTTAGACTCTTTTACTGCTGTCCGAGTGCTAGGACCCTGTTTCATTGGAATTTGTGTTCAGAATTACCTCAGACCCTCACGAGAATACTGGTATTCTTGTGTTCCTTGACAGATTCAGCAGATGATGCATTTGATCGATGTACCTGAATCGATCAACACATCGGCATGTGCTCGTGTCTTAATCGACACGGGCTTTCACCTTCATGGGTTGCCTTGGAAGCCCGTATCCGATTGGGATCCGCGGTTCAACGCAGAGCTCTGGCGTTCTGAGTCCAAAACACTTGGAACGCGCTTGAAGATGTCCACTTCTGATCATCCTGAAGCATGCGGTCAGACGGAATGCGCGAATTATTTCCTCGAGGAGATCCTTCGAGGATACTTCCATTCTTTCACGAATTAGATCGAATTATTGCCGATGGTGAAGTTTTCCATCGTGAATTAAGTCTATGCTTAGAAGATGCACAAGCCGTTCTTTATGAACGGCGTACACCATCCGCGTCTTCTCATCTTTCAGAGCTTGGCTCCCGTTATAAAGAGAAGAAATACTCATTCGAGCGATCGCCAATCCGGCTCTCACTCGTCACGTGCTGACCATGCGGTCACCACTTTCGATGCCGATGTCGATCACATAGACCTCAGTGAAGAAGAGGAAAGTAAGAGCGGGGATGCTCTTTTTCACCATGATACTGATCTGATCAAAATCACGTTTATTGCGTCTAAAGGCACATTCGCAGTGGCGAAAAGAGATCTTGCTACATTACACTCCAAGAGCACTGTATACAGAGACAGCGAGTTAGCAGATGAATTCATACTGGCTTGCGAAACGGTTGTCCATTTGTACAAAACTATATTGCAGAGGTGGTAGATCGACAAAACGCAACGCCAATTACAGAACAACATGTGTTATTTATTCCTGCTAATACTTCGCTCGCTGATCAATTGATGTAGTCTATAATTTTGCTACCTGCGATGTCCCTAGTTAAATGAATGTGTCAAACCTATGTACATATGTGTAATTTTTTTTTGTTGAAGCTTAAGATACGGGAGCAATCTCTGGTGCTCGCACTTTGATATATACAATCCAGTTCGGAGAACTGGATCAAGTTGCATGAAAACACACAACAGCAGTCACTGAAGCACGAGCATGACGCTGTGGCTGTCTATACTAACCTATTACAGTTAACTTAGGCAACGTGATCAGCCTTTGCCTATAAGAGTCCGTTGTTTGATTGTGTGATCATATTTGTGTATAGTATATTTAAATCCAATCATAAGCGAGCGCCACAATATTGACCTACCACAAGAGTGAAAACGATCATGCCAATCGACCGATAAGGGGGGAAAGGCTAGATCGCACTTAGTACGATTAAGATATACCTAGCCGCATCATTCACTGACAGCCAACAGACACACACAGAAATAAGTACGATTTAAATTTCGGCATTCAACCTTATGCACAGTCAACCTTCGGGCTCGCAACTAATAAAGAACAAGTTTTAAAGACAGAAACGTAAGTGTCGCATTTTAGGGAATCAAACGTGCATCACATAGAACACGTCTTATGTTAGATTTCGATAGAATAGTTTGAATACGAGTTATGTTAACTCTTTATCGAAAATGAAAGAAGTTTATCGGATCGAGAACATATTACAGTTTATCACGATAATAACAATGAAATCAATCAATCGCCGCTACCTTCTTGTTCGTCCGCCTGCACTTCTCTTTAAATATACTTTAATTACCTGACATAGACTTAATCGAATAATACTCATTGGCTGCTCCCCAAATTACATACGTATTCGACAAAATTAAATCTTACATCCATTCATCCTTTTTATCCTCCCGTTCTATTTTTTGTGAGCCCAAGATGAGATTGCGTGGTCTATTTATTTCATTCTAACATTTCGTGTCCTTGGCATGATGTACTTTCGACGCGACTTAATCAGCGTTCTGCGGCACAGGTGATCCTATTCACGCGTTGTGTCCAGCGCAACCATGCACACTAAATACCGTACAGCGATATTTGTCTCAACCGATAGCCGTACCTGCTCAAAAACATAAAAAATTCATCACTGCGTCGAACTTAACGTAATCTTTATGTGACTGATTAGTCGATCCAGATGGCTAGTCGCGTGCTTTCTTTCTGGTTCGTTTAATATCGTCTAATCATCATAAATCAAGCTCAATAGACCATTAAAAAGCTTTTGTCTCTGACAGTAAGCGGTTTTGCATCATACATCACCTGGATGATTGCCATATGGGCGTCGACGCTAGCAGCGCTCGCCGACACCACGACTCTGGTACCTTTAACATCCAATTGTCGTCTAAAGAATGCACCTCAAGCACGTGCGGTGGCTCAACTGGGAGCTAGCAAACAGTGCGAGCAGAGGAGGCCCATAGTTGATTCAAGAGGACTTGTACATTTTCTAACTGTTGCGCCGCAGTCTAATTTTAAATTTAGTTTAAGCCCGGACACTGACCTCCTTCATCGGATTTGAAAACATAGATCCGAACGACACGTCCACGATTGCTCGTTCCATAGAGTTGACTAGTCGATCATTAGGCAGCTGCTTAAGGAACGCCTAATGAATGGTGGGTTAAACGACGTGAAAATTACCCGTCTCCATACACTTTAGTGTGCCGATTGGTTGCTTCCAAGTTGAGATGTTAACAGCTGCCCATAGCGTAGAGTATCTCGCATCCATAAGTCCATCAACTTCTACGTTTATACTGTTAGAAAAAGGCACGGTTGAAGTTGCAGTCGAGGAAACGGCTGACGACTCAGAAAGGCGTTTGAGGATCAGTTGAGTAATTGATCGGACAGGTGCGTGGATGGGTGATTGATTGGACAGGAGTGATGGAGAACAAGAACAGCTAGTCCATCATGCTAGCACGAAAAAGATAACACTACAAACAATGTCAGTATCCTTTTATCACAGTGCCACCGACTTCCTCTCTACAGCTTACATCATGGCAAGCGATCAAATTATAATCCCAAGACGGAAAGGAAACGAAGACAACAATGCGGCACAGGCGCCGCCGGCAGCTGGTCACTAATGGGCCGCGGCCGCGCCTGCTACGGTCGTCTCTCATATCGCTCACGCAAGGAGCGCGGAGCCTGACGCACTGGCGAGGGTTCTCGGGATGCTCACGGGCATGGACTAGCTAATGCAGAAGCTGGAAGCGTCCCAAGCACGCATGGACGAAGACGAGCGCACGCGCGGCGCTCACGAGAGCGAGCTGTTCCGATCAGAGCTCGGGGAGGACTTCGCAGGGCGATTCCACGGCGGAGCAATGGAGCTTGAGGACTTGCACGATCGGCAGCCTCAGCAGCAACTGCGGCGTGCACCAGCGCGGCTCGAAGACCTACGGATGCGAGCGGGAGAGCAGCTGCAGCAGCGTGCTTATCCGTTGCCTCAGCCGCCTGCCTCATTGCCGCCATACCAGCTGCCACCAATGCCTTAGGCGATGCCGGAAGCTCCAGGGCAGCCAGTACAGCAGCGGCAACAACAGATGCCGATGCAGTATTGCACTTCGGATGCCAGGCAGCGCAAGCTGGCGATCCGCAAGTTCGATGGCACCGAGGTGTACGTTGTACTCGGGATGGCTGCTTCGACTGGGGCAAGACGTTTTGGCGCCAGGTCGACATGGCACAGGAGTCTTGCGGTTTCCTGTGGAGCGAGAATGTGAAGACTGACGTGCTCGGGCAGTACCTCACTGGCACTGCCGAGCGGTTTTTCAGCAAGCAGGTCGACACGTGGTGGTACGTGCTGCCTACATTGCAGTACGTGATGCAGCGCATGCTGGACACGTTCTAGACGACGATAACCGCCGCTCAAGCAATGAATCTCTTCACGGCGAAGAAAGAGAGCAAGAGATCCTGGCCAGAACACTATTTATATCTGGTCGCTGTCAGCGACGCTGCGGGCGGCGCTGAGCAGCAGGCTATGGACAACATCGTGCGCTACGCCTCGTCTGAGCTGTCGATAATACTCCTGGCGAAGTTCCAAATGTACCGCATCGACTACCTCGTGCACGCGGAAGAGCTCGCGCACTTCGCGCAAGCAATCGAGATGGAAGCTTGATCAGGAATTTCCTTCGGGAAGGAGGTTGTCGCGCACGTGGACGATTCCGTGTCGCGCAGGGAAACACGCACTTGCCACGGGTGTGGGGAGGTTGGCCATCTGAAGATGGACTGTCGCATCAAAAAGACTGACGACAAGAAGAGGGGCAGAAGGCCAAAATACGGCGGCAGCATCACGCTAGCTGTTGGTAAGGGGAGAGGTCGCAACGGATCGCGCGCCATTGGTCAAAGTCTGGCGATGGCGTTTTGGTGACGACAGCGATGACGAAGCTGAAGACTGAATACTCGGCAGCGGTTCCAGCCGCCACCTTGTGAACAACGCATCCCTGCTGCGCGACGCGAGGGACTGCGATCAAGAGTGGCACTTGGCAGATGGAGAGACCATCAAGTTAACGCAAGTCGGAAGCTGCGTGCTATACGTGCTCGCGAGAGGACAGCACCAAGATGTGACGCTGACGGACGTGTATCTGGCGCCCGAGTTATCACGCAACATCATGTCCTACGGTAAGCTTGAGTTCAAGGGATTTGGGTTCGTCTACATCGGCGAGTTGCGCGTGTTGGCATGGCGCAGCAATGGCCAAGTCGCGTTCGATGTGGCGATGGACCACAATGTGCTCTACGTCCAAACAGTCGAAGCGGCTTGCGAGCCACGAGCTCCTAGCGACGTGCTCATGGCGATCCTGACGAGCCAGGAAGCTCCGGAAGAACCCGAGTCGGACGCGCAAAGCGGCTTGCTGCTGCACTTTCACCAAAGGCTTGGGCATCTCGCGCACGACACCGTCGAGCGTATGGCGAGAGACCCCGCGTCCGGCATCGTGCTAGCGGATCGCAAGCGCCCGACGTGCATCTCTTGCGCACAGGGCAAGCAAACAAGGAACCTGAAGTCGAAGATGGACACTGGATCAAACTCGCCGATCGACAGAGTTTACGGGGTGATCTGCTCAGACCTCAAGGGTCTAATGACCCCGAAGGATCGATTGCACAATCGTTACCTTGTCAACTTGGTCGATCACAAGTCGAACTACTATCGTGTCTTCCTGGCGCCGACAAAGGACAAGGTGGCCAAGAAGTTTGAGCACTTCCTCGCGTTCTTCGAGCGCCATTTCGACTGCCGGATCCACGTGCTACGCACGGGTGGCGGCGGCGAATACGCGAATGTCGACCTCTTCAGCAAGCGAACGGGCGTCGCGCGGCAGATCAGCGAGGCGAGGAATCAGGCGACAAACGGAAAGGCCGAGCGCATGCACACGAAGATCCTGAACATGGCGCGCAGCATGATCTTTGCCAGCCGACTGCCATTGAAGTTTTGGGGCTATGCGGTTGAGTACGCGGCGTACATTTTTAACCGCAGCCCAACGAGCGTAAATGCGAAGCGCGCGTCACCGATCGAGGTACTGACTAAGCAAGTGCCGGATCTGCGCGACATCGTCGCCTTTGGCTCTATCTGCTCGGTCTACCGTGACCCAGGCAAGAACTCGCTCGCCCAGCGCGTTGAAGTCGGCGTGATCATTGGGCGGAGCGACGAGACTAAGGGCTTTCGCGTCTTTCTCCAAAAGGAGAAAAAAATCACGATCACGCAGCAGGTGCGCAACGTCGAGACGCTCAGCGCAGAGCAGAACGGTCAGCTGCAGCGCGCGCTCGAGTATAAAGATCGAATTGTGGAGCCATCGGCAACAGCAACAACAACCAAAGAGTCTCCGGCTGCTGACGATACCGCATCGCCGAAGATTGGCATCGGCAAGGAGAAATCGAAGTAGTGTACACGTGTGGCTCACCGGGCGCGCGGCGCAACCAAACGCGCACAGGCGGCCGGCGATCAGGAGGAGCCAGCTGGCAACGACAGCGTGGTGGCATATGTGTATGAGTGCGATCCCAAGAATTACGGTGAAGCACTACGCAGCACTAAGCGTGAAGGCTGGGAAAAGGCCATGCGCGAAGAGCTTGAAGCCCTGGAAGACAATGGCGTATGGCGATTGTTCAAGCCACTCCGGGCAGCAACACTCTGCACACGAAGTGGGTCTTTAAGACCAAGACCGACGCGCACGGTGAGATAGAGCGCCTGAAGGCTCGACTGGTCGCCTGCGGCAACGAGCAAGTTTTTGGGGTCGACTACCAGCTTACAATCGCGGCTGTCATGGACATGTCGACCTTGAAGGTGATCTTGGCGCTTGCAGCGATATGGGGTGTCCCAGCAAAGCATGGCGACATCCCCAATGCGTATGTCAAGGCTGACAAGGAAGCGCACTTAGCGATACTACTCCAGGTGCCGCAGGCAATGAAAATCGATCAAGACGCGCTCAAGATGATAGGCGCACCGACAAAGAAGGAAGTAGTGATGCAGCTACGAAAGAGCCTGTTTGGCCTTAAGCAGGCTGGCCGACTCTGGGGACAGCTCCTTCACGCTCGGCTGCTGCATGAAGCCGGCTTCCGGCAATGCATTTCCGACATGTGTCTATATCACCAATTCGAGGGTTGACAGTTGGTCATCGTGGGCGTCTACGTCGACGATCTACTTGCTACCGGCACGGACGCTGCAGCCGTCGACCGGTTCTTTGTCAAGCTCGGCAGCTTGTCGATCAAGGACCTCGGTACCTTCAACAAATTTCTCGGCATGCGTGTCACGATTGACACCAGTGGCGGCTACGTGATCTACCAGGCCGAGGCGATCGGCGAGCTCCTGCGTGAGCATGGTCTCGAGGACGCAAACACGACGAAAGCACCAATTGGGGCTGACTGCTACAAGGTGCTACCAGATGACGGCGTGCTGCTCCCCGAGACTACGGTGCAGGGAGCGCCAACAATCAAGACTTTCCGGTCCCTCGTCGGCAGTCTGCTGTGGATCTTGCGTTGCACACGGACGGACATTGCGTTCGCCGTGCACAAGGCGACGCGTCAGACTCATCAGTCGCGACTCCATCAGATGAAGTTTGCCAAAACGCATCGCGCGGTACCTGAAGGGGACGCGTGACTACAAGCTTCGGATGGAACCAGCGAAGCACCTCGACGTCAAGATCCAGCTCGAGGCGTACTCGGACGCCGACTTTGCGGCGGAGAAAAGCGACAGGAAGTCCTTGACTGGCGGAATCATCCGCCTGAACGGCATGCCGGTCAGCTGGACGTCGAAGAAGCAAGGAGGCGTCTCTCTCTCGACGATGGAAATGGAGTTCGTCGCTGCATCGGAGCAGGCGCGCGAGCTTCTTGTTACCAGGGAGATGCTTAACGAGATCGGTAAGCCACCAGCGCTACCGATGGTACTTCACGTCGACAATCAGGCGGCACTGAAGCAGCTGGCCGGTGGGACGTCATTTCTCAAGGCCAAACACATCGATTCTCGCACGAAGTTTGTGTGCGACTTCGCTCGACGCGGGATCATCGTGTCGCAGTACGTCCGCTCGGAGCAACAACTCGCGGATCTTTTGACGAAGGCACTGGACGCATTCAAGCTCGCGGCGCTGTGTGAGATGATCGGTCTCGATTATGACGGTAAGTCGTAGCCGAGGAGGAGTATTAAAAAAAGGCATGATTGAAGTTGCAGTCGAGGAAACGGCTGACGACTTAGAAAGGCGTTTGAGGATCAGTTGAGTGATTGATTGGACAGGTGCGTGGATGGGTGATTGATTGGACAGGAGTGATGGAGAACAAGAACAGCTAGTCCATCATGCTAGCACGAAAAAGATAACACTACAAACAATGTCAGTATCCTTTTATCACAGTGCCACCGACTTCCTCTCTACAGCTTGCATCATGGCAAGCGAACATATGCAATTTACGTCGCAAGACTTACTTGAATAAGCGTTGCGGGATGCTAAGCAATTGTATTTAGCATGCGTTTAGGCCTATACATATCATGCACTTCTGCGTATTGCCATCAAGAAACCTCACCTGTCCCAGCGTACGGCACGTTGTTTGTCACACTTTCAGATTGTTATTATGTGTTTTTTTATCAATCCTGGCAAGAACAACAATCTTACTGACGCGCTTTCTTGACGCCCCGATTGCGATCCCCAAAATGACATAGATCATCACTCAGGTAGTGCTGATAAATATACGATGACATTCACTTTGCGCTGTATTGAGCTGGAGCTCAATGCAATGATTTCGGTCACTTTGTACTCAGGTCAATGAGTCTCGCGCAAACGATTTAACCTACATAGAAACTATCAATCATCTTCGACACCCTAGTTAGGACCCACTCGCGAAGTTTATGAAATTAACACGAGATTATATCAAGCAAATACGCTTGATGGTCCGTCAATGACGTATTTGACAGACGTCGTTGATCCCCCGCAAAAATTCATCCTATCTGATGGCGACCTTTGTTATAGAAAAGCTTCGGCCAAGAAAGTGATACACTAAAGGTACGCTTAGAAGATTAGTAATACACGACGTAGCGATTATAAATGCACGACTTAGCGATAAGTGATGCGCAATACAGCAATTACGATTGTGTAATCGAAGGATCCAGTGGGATTAGACTAGCAAAAGAGACTGCAAACTAAGGACCTAAAGATATTCACTTTGCATTTTGACAACCATCGATCATATGATATTTACAAGAGGTTGTGATCCCAAGGCCCGTCTTTCCTGACTCCGACACCGACTTCTCCCTCGTTGGGAGCGCCTCCGCTCTCATTTGCATCGACAGGTTCGACGGAAAAGACTTCCACACGTGAAAATTCAAGTTGCAGATGGTGCTGGAAGAGCGTAACTAATGGAAAGTGGTGAGAGGAGACATCAAGATGAAACAGTGTGTCATGCATCTGGATCGGGCGAAGTTCAAGCGCAATTCTTGCAAGGTAGTGGCAATTATCTGTCTCGCGATAGAGGATTCGCAGATTTTGCTGGTCCGGCTGGCGAGTAAAGCGCGTGATGCAGGGTCGCGGCTGGAAGGACACTTCGGAAAGAAGAGCCTCGCATTCAAACTCTTTCTTTGTCGAAGTTTCCTTACGGCCAAGATGGAAGAAGGCAACGATATATTGGAACATTTCAAAAAAATCAAGACACTGGCGGAGCAGCTGGACACAGTGGGCGATCCGGTCAGTGAGAACGACTTGGCAGTTACGCTCCTCGTAAGCATCAGCGAGTCTAACGGATTCTTTATCACAGAGTTGAATTCAAGAGCCTACTCGCTGTCGTGGGAGCTCATCACGTCTCGACTGCTGCATGAAGATCTCAAGCGCAAGGAATAAGGTGTCGACGGAGCAGTGAGCGGTCGAGGATTTGTTTCTCGCATGCAACAACAACAGTATGCTTTAAACGAAAAAGAAGGCGCTGTGCGAGCATTTCCGGGATGACAGACCTCTGTCGGCTTGAGTACTTATTGGTAATGGAGGTTGATCAAGATGTCATCAGTGGCAATGTTTCCGTTTGTTAAATCAATTTTGCGGCAGACATACTGGAGAAGTTCGGCATGTAGAACAGCAACCCCGTCCAGATACCGCAAGACCCCATACCCAAGTTAACCAAGAGCATGTGCGGAGAAGGGTACAACCACGAAGCGACATGTCACATGTCCCGTGTCGCAATAATGTCTGCTGTCTCATGTATGTGATCGTTAGGACCTGACCAAATCTTGCTGCCTCAGTGGGAATCCTCAGCTAGTTTGCTTTGGATCCGTGTCCAACCCACTGGCAGGCATTTGCGACGGTCTTTAGATACTAGCAAGGGAAGAAGGTACATGGCATCGAACTCTAAGCCATTGAACAAGTAGGACTTGAAGGCTACTCGGATACATAATGGGCTGGCAACGTGGACACTCGACGAACCACAAGTGGTTACGCGTTCATAATTAATGGAGGGTGCATCAGCTGGAGATGCAAGAAGAATTGCACGGTTGCACCGTCGTCAACGGAAGCAGGATACATGGCGTTGACTGAATCTGTTTAAAAAGCAATTTGGCTGAAGGCGTTCCTGTGCGAGCTTGGAAAAATGTCACTCAGCAATGCGTTCAAGATTTTATACCGACAGTCAAGGAACGATAGCATTGGCCAAGAACTCAAAAGCACCAAGCACATTTATATTCACCATCAATTAGTGCGGGAGAAGGTAGAAGGCAGTCAAGTGGTGCTGCAAACCTCTCAGCGAAGGACATGTAGGACGACTTGGTGACCAAGTCAATTAGCGCGGTGCGGTTTATAGGTCTCCGAAACAAGTTAGGGAATGAGGCACCAAGGTCAGCCGAGTCGAGTGGGAGTGTTATTCTAGAAACGCCTCGGCCAAGAAAGGAATAAACAAAAAGTGCGTATAGACGATTACCATTGCGCGACGTAGCGATTAGCAATGCACGACGAAGCGATCAGTAATGAACGACGTAGCGATAAGCGGTGCGCGATACAGCGATTACGATTGTGTAGTCGAAGGATCCAGTAGGATTAGACAGGCAAAAGAGAATGCAAACTAAGGACCCAAAGATATTCGATTTGCATTTCGCCAATCATCGAGCATTTGACATTTACAAAAGATTGTTGCATTTACTCCATGACACTCCAGCTGGTCGTCAACTGTGTCGCGGAAAACGTTCACGGTCATTCCGCGCGTGTTCTTCTGGTCACGCATGTACAAGTACATTCAGAAACATGTGCGCTCTTATAATTCATGCCAGAGAGTGAAGCCTGAGCCGTACCACATGTAACGGGGTCACACTAGCTTTTGGCTGAATTAGTCAAAGACCTCCCAAAAATGACATGGATGAATGTGTGTGACCTTAGATTTTATATCAGCAAGAGAACATGGATTGATCGATATTCCCAGGTTTACTGTACTTCCTTATACGTACTTTTTACCGTCATCATTTGATGACTGAGTGATGTGGCAACCATCCATTTAGTTCGAATACTAATATTTGTATTCAGGATAATACAGGCTACATAAAGTAGGATTTTCCTTGATGTAAAATCTAAACATAGTTCAGTTCTCATTTTGAGCAGAAGTCCCTAGACTTCACCCTTTCGCACCTTGCGTTTGACAGTTCCTTAGAACTGTCGTGGGTTAGAGAGTCTTTAGATTCCAGCATTCCACTTTCGCACACTGTGCGTGTAGTTCTTAGAACTACAGTAGCTGAGCTGTTAGCTCGTAGAGTCCACCCAAGTTCCGTAAAACTGGGTGACTCTTTAACTTGATAAATTAGTTCCGTAGAACTTATAGGCTGTCAACCTTAAGCCGTTGGCTTGTAAAGTAAGTCTTTTACTGACTTAAGGAGATGTGTAGCTCCGCTACACCACAAGTCCATTGCAAACAATCTTTATTGTTACGGAAGGCTGACATTTAGTCAGCATGAATTTCATCATGTTGATCGGTCTTCCACCGAAAGAACAAAAATGCACGTCTACTCAATCTTGTGGATCAATTAATCAAAATGGTGCACTGTACTCAGGTTTTCGCGCACGTTACGGTGGAACCGACAGCGAAGACCCTTTTTGATTTTGTTGGGAATCACGGTTTATGTAACGGGGTGAATCGTTACATAACAATTTATAAGAAATTGTTAATAGAATATAACTTTAAGAGTTATATTCTCAGAATATTGTCATAAGGACAAATATTCTGTAGCACTTACGAGTAGTTCCTAATTGGTTGATGTAGGCCATTATATCAACCAACGAAGACGCGCCACGACAGACGCACGCAATGAGTGGTTAGCAGATAGTTGATATGCACATTTGTATTCAGACATAGTTAGATGAGGATAAATAGTGATTTATTGCAGACACTAACTATGATAAATACAGTTCTACTTTTTACTGAAACTAAGTACTCGCTTCTTCTTGCCGTCTTCCTCTGCACGTACCAGTGTACGTGATTTTCCGAGTCACCGCCTTATTCTGTCATCAGAATAAGTAGCTTGTGCTGTTACCAGTACAAGCTTCAGGGTGCCCCGTTACACCTGGTAGCACTTTGTAGTCCGTCCAAGCACCACGTTCACATCTAACATGAATATGTTGGACGATGAAGATAACCAAAGCTTTCACGCTACGCGTGACGGCTACTCCCATTTGAGCGATGTCGAATGGGATGCGGTTGAACGAATGGGTTCGACCATGGGCATCCATGCTGTTAGCGTCATGCTAGAGGCTCTCAATAGAGATGCCCAACATGCTACTATCGCCAAGTTCATTCAAAATGAACTTGACGCAGAACGCGAGAAAGTAGCCTTGCTTCACCAACAAGGTTTTCAACAAGCAGAGTTGTTGAGAGAACAGGGTGCTCAACAGTTTGAACTGTTGAGACAGCAGCAGGCTGCTGCTGGTGGGTCGATGCACTCGCGTCGACCCGAAACCTTGAAGATTGACATCTCTAAGTATAGGGGAGTCGAAGAGGACTCCCTCTTGAGATGGTTCGTCGAATTGGATGACGCCATAAGGGCGCGTCGCATCGACGACGGGGATATGCAAGTTGCATTTGCCAGTCAAATCTGGCAGGACGTGCCAAGACTTGGGCACTGGGGCTCAAGTTCCACGACCCATATGCGTTTGGGTCGTTGGAAGTCTTCAAGTCGCGGCTCAGACAAACGTTTGAACCGTCTAGAGCTGAGTTCAGGGCTCAAACCGAACTCATGAAGCTCAAGCAGGGTAAGCGTGATGTGCACGCTTACGCTCAACATATACGACATCTCACGAGTTGTATAAGTTCCAATCCGGTGGATGAACACACGTTGGTTTCGGTGTTCATGCAGGGTCTTGCGGATGGTCCCGTCAAGACTCACCTGTTCCGGCTTGAACTAGATTCACTAGAACAAGCCATTTCCATTGCGGAACAGGAAGACTTCAGTCTGAGACAGGCTCGCGCCAGCTCGACATCATATCGTCAACCGAGACGATATGACAACGGAGGTCCAGAGCCGATGGAACTCTGTTATGTAGAGAGCGAGAAGGCTCGATCTACAGACTACAAGAAGTTGCAGAGATGCAACAGATGTCAGAAGACAGGACACTACGCTTACGAGTGTAGTTCCCCTCGTCCAGTGTCTCGCGACACTGGGCGTAGTGACCGTCCACCCATGAGAAAGGGGCAGGGACGAGGGTCCGCCGTTGGGGCAAAGACGCAACAACGGGATGGCCCGTCAAAAAACGGACAGGATCAGTAGGTGCGGAGCACCCTACTGGTCCAGCAACGTCAAGAGAATTTGTAGGCCTCTTGATGAAGGTTGCATCCAACACACAAACATTGTGCGTTGCTGCTCTAGGTAATGAGGTCTCACTCATTACCTTGAAACTCGAAGTGACAAATAAGTTTTTCCTTCGAGCTCTAGTCGATTGTGGGGCGTCCAACAATTTTGTGCGACGCCAATCGCTAGAAGATGGTCACTTTAAATTCAGTGAATGTGACACACCTCCTACGAGGATGACGGTACGTCTTGCGACAGGCGCATCCGTAACCGTCATGAAGCGTATAGTGAAGATCCACTATACGCTGGAAGATACCCAATATGACGATGACTTCATCGTATTGGATTTGGATGACAAATTTGATGTCATCCTTGGAATACCGTGGCTCAGAAGGTACGAACCACGGGTAAACTGGCAGCATCGAACAGTAACGATGCCTGCCGCTTGTTCATCAGATGGCCATCTGATGAACGTTTTGGAGCGTCCACAAGCGTGTGGATGTACTACGAGTGAGTGCGATGGCCTCACTTGTGTTACGGTCGTTAGTACGACTGCACAAAACCTTAGTGTACCAAACGGTTACACTTCGGAGCAAAGTTCCGGCGGCTGTGAGGTTACACAGGCTGCGCCAAAGGTCCACCACTCGAATAAGTCGAGTGGACAGGGACAAAGATGTATCCCTAGCGGGGAACATCTAGAAGAGAAACAATCGTTCGCTCAGGTTAAGCGAAACGATAATCCTAGATCGACTGGAGAGTCTTTCGTAGAGGATCTCGCTGTGGTTGCGCAACCCCAGCTAGAGGAAGTAAAGGGAATAAGTCCCAAGATTACAAATACGGCGGAAATAAGTTCCCCGAAACCCGCGGGAATAAGTCCCCGGGAAGCCGAAGGAATAAGTCCTTCGAAGCCTGAGGGAATAAGTCCCCAGGAAATGACAGAGACATTGAATGTCATAGTCAATAACGGATCAAGTGTAGGCGCTTATACACTTGATCTGATTGCGCCTCCGAAGTTAACTTCGGAGATCACTCAGTTGCCAACGCTCGATCATAAAAGGTTCTTGCGTGATCTGCGTAGTGGCAAAGTCAAGCAGATCTGCTTACTCGTCGCTGACGACGAGTGTGTAACCGACATAAGGTCAGCAACAGTGTTTACTGAGAACGAGGGAGTTCTCAGTAGTTCATCTATGGACGAGAGTGTCCTCGATGAAAAGACACGAATTGAGCGATATGAGTCCCAATCATGGGAATCGCTCAAGGAAAATCCTCTCTATGAAGATTTGGTTGAATTCAAGGATGTATTCCCTGAAACTGTTCCGTGCGAATTACCGAAGGATAAAGGTATTCGACACGAGGTCGAGCTTAAACCAGGCTCGAAGTACTGTGTCATGAAGCAGTGGCCACTGCCTCGTGAACAAGTACTTGCGATCGACAAGTTCTTTGCAGATCGTTTAGCTGCGGGCCATGTGAGGGAATCAACTTCCCCACATAGCTCTCCGACCTTCTGTGTGCGAAAAGCAACAGGAGGGTGGCGGATAGTGCATGCATTTAACAAGTTGAATGCTGCAACGGTACCGGCTCAGACGCCGATACCGAGGAAGGACGTCATCATTGATGGTATGTCAAAGAGTACCATCTTTTCGTCCATGGATTTGATGGATGGATTCTATCAAATCCTAGTGCGAGAACGGGATATACCCTATACCGCAGTTAGCACGCCTAGCGGTATGCTCTGGAAATGGCTAGTAATGCCACAAGGGCTTAGTAATGCCCCTGCAACGTTCAACAGATGTGTATCACATCTGTCAAGACCAGTACGAGAATTCGCGCCGAGTTATTTCGATGACGTATTCATCCATAGTCGGGCTATGGTTGGAAAATCGGACGTTGAGGTTCACAGGTACCACGTCCGACAGGTTCTTACAATCATGCGAAAGCATCAATTGTATGCAAACCTCAAGAAGTGTATATTTGCAGCAAGCGAAATACCACTTCTTGGGTGCATCGTTGGTAAGAACGGTGTACGTCCTGATCCCGAAAAGATCAAGGCGATCACCGACTGGCCTGTGCCGGTTGATGTCAAAGGCCTTCGAAAATTCCTTGGGCTAGCGGCGTATTTGCATAAGTATTCACGCAATTACGCCGAGATGACTGTGCACCTCTCTCGTTTGTTGAAAAAGAACGAGAGGTGGTTATGGAACGCTGAATGTCAGCGCTCCTTTGATGGTATCAAGCAGAGCTTGATACAATCCCCAGTCCTAGCAATAGCCGATCAGGACAGGCCATTTCATGTGGTCTGTGATGCCAGCGATTTCGCAATCGGCTGTGCATTAATGCAGTACGATCTTGAAGGTGTTGAACGCGTCGTCTGCTATCAGTCGCGTCAGCTGCAACCAGCTGAGCGGAACTATCCAGTGCATGACAAGGAACTCCTTGCCATGAAGTATGCACTCGCGAAGTTCAGAGTCTATTTTATTAGGAGATAGGCCCTTCATTGTTTACACTGACCATGCGTCATTACGCACGGCAGTGAACAGCCCGCATCTTTCACAACGAATGGCGCGGTGGTTGTCATTCTTTGCAGAATACAACTTTACGGTCGAGTACAAACCAGGACGACTTAATGTCGTCGCTGATGCACTCTCACGTCGTCCCGACTTTGAAACAGTCGCGAAACCCAACAGTGAGACAGTCACTGTTGCGGTTATGACGTCCTCAGTCCCATCTACAACGTTGTATGATGATGTGAGGCGGGCATACGCCCAAGATGGTGAGATTGTGAAGTTGTTGACACATCTCTCACAGCCATCTCGAGAATCGTTGAAATGATTATCGTCTGCGTATCAATCTGCATCAGATCGATAAACTACTCACAACGGTTTACTGTATTATACAGCCTTTTCTGGTGACACACCACGTGTTATCATTCCAGATGATACTGATCTGCGTTTGCGGATCATGTTCGAGTATCACGATGCTCCTATAGGAGGACATCGTGGCCGGGAGAAAACATATCTCACGGTGAGTCGAGACTTTTACTGGCCCCGCCCAGTATCAGTTTGTGCGCAAGTACGTTCGCGCATGCGAAGTCTGTCAACGAGTGAAGTCAAGTCCTTCACTGCGTGCACCTTTACAGCCTCTACCGGTTCCGGCTGAGTGCTGGGAATCCATCTCAATGGATTTTGTCTTCGGGTTACCCAAAGACGCACGCGGGAATACGGGTATTCTCGTATTTGTTGACAGATTCAGCAAAATGGTACACCTTGTGGCTGTACCAGAGACAATCACGGCAAGTGGCTGTGCTTGTGTCTTTATTGACACCATCTTCCGACTTCATGGGTTGCCCCGTGAACTCGTATCAGACAGAGATCCACGATTCACTGCTGATTTCTGGCGTTCCGTGTTCAAATCACTCGGAACGCGCTTGAAGATGTCGACATCTGATCATCCAGAGACAGATGGTCAGACGGAACGTGCCAATCGTGTCCTCGAAGAGATACTTCGAGGATACGTACACTCCTTTAAGAGTTGGAGTGAGTTTTTGCCAATGGTAGAGTTTGCCATTAACAACTCGGTGAATGCGTCCACGACACATACACCGTTTTACGTGAATGGCTTGCGCCATCCGCGTGTACCCACCTTACTAGAGTGTAACTCTGGTTTAAGGGGGGGGAGGGACTAGCGCGAGCAGAAACCGATTTGGTTCACGCTCATCACGCTCTGACGAAGAGGTCATTGCGTTTGATGCCGATATCGATAACATCGATATCGAAGAAGATGATGCCAGTGAGAGTGCGGAAGCCCTCACTGAAGAAGATGATGCCAGTGAGAGTGCGGAAGCCCTCACTGAAGAAAAGGTTGATGTTGCTGCAGTGCGCTCACAGCGCACTGAAGCTAACGTGTCATCAGATGAGTTCATACTGGCTCGTGAAACGGTAGTCCGTTTTGTGCAAGACTCCATCGCCGAAGCGGTGGACAAGCAAAAGCAAAACGCTGACAAGAATGGAAGGGCAAACACTCTTTTATTTTATAAAGGTGACTTGGTCCTACTGTCTACGGTTAATCTACCAAAGCATGTAGTGACTAACTTGGGTAGCAGTAAACTACTACCCAAGTACATCGGCCCATTTCGTGTATTGCACCGCCTAGGCAATGCATACACGATCGAGTTACCACGTAAGATGCGAACGCATCCCACGTTTTACGTTGGTCGGCTTAAGCCGTACCATCAGTACGCTGCTTCTTCCGATGAAGAACGCCCTTGCGCTCAAGCATCTCGCAGAGAGCCTTGTGCTCCCGATGGTGGGCATCAACAAGGGTCTGAAGAGCAGCTATCTCATCCCGAGACCGATCAACAATCCCACGAGCTACCCTTAGCTCGTCACGAAGAGATGTCAGAGATCTCTCATTCTCAAGCTGAGCAAAGGCAAACTCAGCTCGATGCTTCGAGACAGTGTCCGCCATTTGGAGACGCCTATTCCGCTCATGTTCGAGATCGTTGCGTAACCCTTGCGTTACGCGATCAAAGAAGCTCTCGGGAACACACGGATCCCCACGATTGTGTGGAGAGCGTCTTCCCTACTCCTCCACCTCCATTAGAGGACTCTCGCAGTGGCCAGCGCTATCTAGCTGAGCAGCTGTTGAACCACCGCGACGTGAACGGACGTCGGACGAGTTACCTCGTCCGGTGGCGCGGCTATCCTCCGTCCTGGGATTCTTGGGAGCCCCGCTCCCAACTGATGATCGACGTACTGGGTCTGGTTGAGCAGTACGACGCGGCACATCCTGTGCCGCAGAAGGACCGCTGGAGAAAGTCTTCCCGGAACGGTCGTAAAGGGATTTCAGATTGTCAATCCCTTCGTACATCTCACTAGAGATACTTACGCGCCACCACGGGCTGGTAAGGAGGTAAGCCTCCTTGGGTGCTCGTGCAGAGTTGTTCACACAACATGGGCACGAGTCTCCCCAAGAGAGGCAGGGTAATCCTTTCTCCCTTGACAGACGATGCAGCTTGTAGCGTGCACCTGTCGGGGTTCGCTTTTCAAACTTATCACGAGCTTTGATAAGTTTGTCGTTCCAAGCGTCACGACCTACATCCTCAAGGTTATGGATGTAGGCGTTCCACGCTTGAAGTAGTGAGGGACCATCACGCTTGTGATTCCCACTGTACCATCGATGTCTGAAGAAAGCATCGATGAAGATTTCATGTTCAGCACGATAGTTTTTCGCGCTGGGGTCAAGGTGATGGATCCTTGACGAATCGAACAGTCGTGTTCGATAACGATCACCCGTCGTCGCCGACGAGTGATCCATGACGGATTTTGGAGGCATCCATGCCTTCTTCTCGGGAGCGAGACGCAACACATTGCGGTCCCGCTCTTCCTGCGATGTGCCGACAGAAGTACTGGCACCTCGCTGTGAAGTGGTGTCCATAGGAGAACCGACACCACTATTAGCGCCCGAGTCTCGCGACCTCGAGCGCCTTCGCTTCGGCGATGGTTCATCTGATGAATCAGATGAACCAAAGATGCTGCGATGCAAAGCATCGTCCATGCCACGCTTGGTAGGCGGCTTGGATTCGATCGCCGTCGATACGGATCCGTCTTCCGTATCAGGAGAGTATGAGACACCGAGCTCATACTCTGTGAAGACGTGAGTGTCTTCATGACCAGCGCCTGCATCACCAAGTGACACAGGCTGGGTCGCTTCAGCAACCGATGAGACATCAGTTGCTGTAGTTTCTGCTTCGGCGTCCGCACAGAGACGTGCGGACGCGCTCTCGGCGGCCTTGCTCGCGCATCGCATGGGCTTGTTAACCATGCGATGAGATGTTGGAAAGTGGACGCGGACCAACAAGTGCAAACCCTGTCCCAAATGATTTGGGACGAGTATCCATTTAGTCAATCAGTCACTAAAGTGACTGATGGTTAAGGGG